TAAGATTCTTGAGCTGAAAGCTAAATTTCTTTTGAATCAAATTTCAGATTTTGAACAACTTATCATCTGGGAACGAGCCAAGGTTGATAAGGAAAAGAAAGAGGCTGAACTAAAGCAGAAAGCCCTAGATGAAGAGAAAAGATTGTTTGTTATTGAGAAGAGAAGTACTGTCAAGAAGCATGCTGCAATTGCTAAAGAGCTTACTGAGAAAAAAGAAAGGGCTTGACATTGCTTCAGAGAATGATAAAGGAATTTCAGATGAAGAAAGAAAGAAGTTTGAGAAAGAAAGGAAAGTATTTGAAAAGTTAAAGAATGAATTAGAAGATAAGTTTTTTGGATACTGCAAAGAAATTGTCTGATCTAGAGACATAACTTGTAACTGAATTGAACATGAGAACTGAACTGAAAAAGAAATACGATTTAGTTGCTGATGAAAGAGACCAATTATTAAAGAAAGTAAAAGACTTTTCATGTACTAAAAGCCCAACTGGTTCTCAATCACAGTGTAAAACTAGCTTTTATGACTGTTCTAGTGTTAAATCTAACAGTTATTATAGTAGTCCTAAATCAACTGTTTCTAAGAACAATTCTCGTTCTTCAAATTAGTATTATCAAGGTATGTCATTGGATCACCCAATTATCATTCAAAAGTTAAACATGTATGGGTTAATAAAGCCGATTCTGTTGTGTCTCATAAATCTGTTGTAACTAACACTGTTCTTCCTTGCACCGTGAGTTCTACTAATAAAATGACCAGTCTCAGCAAGAGAAGAATTCTATGCTCAAATTGTGTAACTAATGATTTTGTTAACAAGAAGATCAATAGAGGATATGGGAACAATTGGTTTGAAAACAGTTGGAATTCATTTAACAGGTACAATAATCACTGGTATGGCTCTTACTGCTTATCTGATTTACTTGTTAAAAGTGCTAAAAAGAAGATATCAAATAGGAATAGATGGTTTGAAAGTTACAACATACCCCAACCCGATACTAACAAAATAGGACCCAAATTCATTTGGGTACCAAAATCTACTTAATCTGGTTTTGCAGGTGTGTCAAGATTGTGCTGATCAGAATATCATTTCTTTGATACACTAATGCAGGGGGAGTTGTAATCTGTTCCACTGAGGCTTCTGAACATTTCAGTTTAGGACCCGTGCTTTACCGAGTGTGGTTTCTAAACACTCAGTTTAGAACCCGTGCTTAAAATGTTTCCATTTTTTTATTCTTTGAGCTAAACTGAAACATTACTGAAATCAACTTTTTAGGGAGAGTCTCTAAAAGTTTTTCAATAATAAATGAGTTGTTTTTGGGAAACGAGTACTGTTTCTGAACAGGTATTTTCTGAGATTTAATTGCGTAATTTCTCATCGTACATAACTCTAATACCTGTTTCAGCTATTCTTCAAATTGTTATTATCACGTCTCTTATAAGAAAATCATTTTTGGTGATAATACGCTTGTTTCTATTCAAATTTGTTTTATGATATTTTTTTACATTGATTCATATACATTCAATTTTTTTTAATATCAGAATCTGTAAACTCGTTCTTACAGATCTTCATTCATTTCTCTCATATATACCAAATAATTTGATCGTTGTCGCATCATTCCTTATTGATTGTGCTTAAAGCCAAATTTCTTGATCAATTTTTATCTGATCATTGTGCTTATTTGCAATAATAATTTTGATCAATCATTGTGATCAACTGAGCTTACAGTATTTTAGGAGGGACTGAGTGCTTATCAGAAATACCTCTATGGAATGTCAAAACGACAGACCTACCCAGGAGGACAACCATATCTGAGTAAGCTTTATATACAAAAGGGTTTGTGTGCTGAGACTAAATGAAAAAGAGAGGGTTAGTTGTTGTGAGCTAAAAGAATTGATGAGAGTTGTGCCAGGATTAAAAGAATATAAGAATCCTGCTCCAAACTTCTAAAATTTGGGCATACCACACAATCTATTAGTTCTCAATTCTTTCGAGACTAATATTGAAAAAGGCAAAGCCAGTCCAATTCTTGTGACAACCCCACCAACAACTCATTTATCTCTCAACAGATAAGTGTTTCAATAACACTTGGGGCACGCATCTCATCATCTATCAATTTCTCATTCGGAGAAAGTTGATATTGAATCAGAATGATATATGTCCCCCCTTCAAGTCTTTTTGATCATATATTGAGTCTGATAAATTTGTGTAGTCCACACGGTTTATCATTTTGAGCCTAAAGAGAAGCATACATTGTTTTATCTTTCTACACTGCACAGATTTTGCATTTTATATGTTAATTTGCCAAAACATTCATAGATATGCTATTCTTAAGTTATCGATGATTGAATGGAAGACCTAGTGAGATGAGCATCAAAAAGTCTCATATATACAATACATCCGTTCTACTGAGTATATCTGTTATACTCACAAGCCAATCTTTTTATAAGATTGAAAACAATTTCATTCGTTGAAATTGGATGTTACCTTCCATTCCCTTAATCTGAAAAGATTAAACAAGTGGATTTGAAAAGATCTACTTACTATTTCATTAATTGACGGTTTGTGAGGAGGATTTCATTCATTCTTGTGTATGATTGAATGATTCTCATTTCATCATAAGGGGGAGTATGTAATAATGAATGAAATATCCATTTTCGAACATTATAAAGGGGAATCTGATGTAAAAATCAAGGGGGAGTAACATCAAAAATGGCAAAAGACTTAAAAGAAGTGCGACTGGAGATGATTACAAAAGATCAACTCTGAAGTTTGTTATTGTTTCTGATCTACATTGTCAAAAGAGAAGATCATCGCTGTTCTACATTCGAGGGGGAGAATGTTAGAAGATCTTTCTCAACAAACGATTGTCTGAAGATCTCAAGTTGGAGATTATTTTTTTAAGAAGACATAGTGTGTTTAAGGCTTCAAAGTTCAAACGAGACTCAAAGCGCGCAAATTCTTTCAAGTCTGAATACAAAGGGGGAGAATGTTAGGAATGAAATTCAGTATAAAATTGTATTCGTATTGAAAGATAAAATTGTCTATAATTGTAGAAAAGTCGTCGTGTTTGACTTTTCTTTAGAGAAGTTTGACTTTGACCATGTGTATTGTTTGACCCTNTATAAATAGGGTATTTCCTTGTAATTTTGATAGGATTCTTCATTGTAAATTCATTACGTATAATTGAGAGTTTTAAGAACTTTGACTGATTGACTTTCTCTCTCTACTCCTTCTATGGTTCTTACATGAGTATATGTTTTTTGCCATTGTTGAATTGAAGGTTTCTTGAACGATTGATCAATACTGGACACACATGAAGTGTTCTTGTTTGATCTCGTGTACTTCCAAGAACTTAACTTCTTACTTTTCAACCCAACAATGAAAGGTATACAAAACCCAACACCTTTGGGATGCAAAGAAAGTAAGCAATCAAAGATTGAAAGAAGAAACACAAACTCTTCCAAGAAACCCAACAACGTTACTATCGAAACTCAACAATGAGGGATATATGAAATCCAACACTTTTGAGTTGCAAAAAGAACAAGTTGTTAAAGTTAAGGCACCACATTAAGGGGAAAAAACCTAGTGATAAGCCAAGTGAGAATTGTAAGCATTATGGGGGCATTTGGTTCGTCGGAATCCACAGGAATCTGGTGGAATTGGAATAGTCAATTTTGTTGACCAAATTCCATTCCAACGTTTGGTTACCCATGGAACGAAATTGAATTCCAAAGATTTCATCATTTGAGGATTTTAACATTCCTTCCTAAAACTGATGGAATTGAAATCCATTCCATCTAAAAATGTGTAAATGACAGAAAACCCTCATGATTACTGCTTGCTTCCGGTTTCTGCTTATCAAATACCAAAATCAAACCGATTACTGCTTGCTTCAAATTTCTGCTTATGATGCTCTCGACCGATTACTGCTTGCTTCCAATTTTCTCATTAAATATTCAAACAAACCAGATCCAGGTTAATTATCACCAACACCCTCTAAACCCCTTTCCCTCTTCGAAGCTTCGACCTTGCAACTCCACAAATCTGAAACCAGATCTGAGAACGAGTAAAATGGGTTCTTCGGTGGTTGTGGCGGCAACAAAAGGTAGTAGAAAAGGAGAAAGGGAGATGACCATGGAGGAGGGAGAGGGTGGTTGTGTTCCCGTGGTGAGTTTTTTCAACCTATATCCGATGAAAGCTGTGGAGCACGGTCATGGTAGGGGAGGTCGAAGATGAGAGTAGAGAAGGACAGGGGTGAGAGTGGGGGTCGCCTAGAGACGAGATAGAGAAGAAGAAGAAGAAGGCGAGTGATCGGAGATGTAAAGAGGGTCACAGGAGGGTTAACGGAAGGGAGGTTTTGGAGGTGGTCACACGGGATCTGCTTATGATGCTCTCGACTGATTATTGCTTACTTCCAATTAAATTCTAAATTTTTTTTCATTAAATGTTATTTATATTGTTATCTATTATTAAAAAAATAAGTTTTTTTTTTAAATGTCAAAGAAAGGTATTTTTGTCTTTTTTTCATCATTCCATTCCAATTCTACTGCACACCAAACAGGCCAGATTCCAATTCATTAGACTGATTAAATTCCATTTATGTCAATCGAACACTTGGTCAAACCTGATAACATTACATTCTAATTCCTTTCAGATTCCAATTCTTTTGACAGATTCCATTTCTATGAACCAAACGCCCCTTATTAGTCTTGCAAGACTCGGATTCGTTCAATCAGAGAACTAACAAGTAAAGGAATAACCTCACAGTATATTGATTTGATGAAAAGATGCTTACAAATGCTTGAAAGCTCCTATTTATAAGGAAATACTAGACGCTTATTAAGTACAAAATTAAAGGCTCTTAAAGACATTATTTAGACCTAAACTCTTAGGATTTCCCTCATAATGACTAACTTGACATTCAAGACTATTTTATTTTAATAAAAGAAAAAAACAAAAATGTAATATTGGGCCTTGAAGGACAACTCAAATATGTAAAAGTTAGCCCAAGAACACAAGATAGTTTATCCAATTGGGCTTGGGGTCTTGGTTGTCGTCCAAAGGGGCTGAAATAATGAGATTAGACACAGCTTCTTGCATCCGCTTTCTCCTTGCACGTGTCATTGGATCAACTTCACACGAGTTTCCATCGAGCTTTGAATTTCCATTACGCTTGTCTCCTTTTTCTTCGATAAGGTTTTCATCATCCCCTCCCTCTTCAGATCGATACGTCCTCGAATCGAGACCACCTAGATCAAAATCTAATGGAGACAAATCATAAACATTAAAAGTTGCACTTATACCATAATCACCGGGTAAATCAAGCTTGTAGGCATTATCATTAACACGAGCCACTACTTGAAATGGTCCATCACCATTCCATCACCACGTGGATGTAATTTGGTGAGTCTTGAAGCTAGAAACCTTTCCTTCCTCATATGAACCCATACCCAATCACCAGGTTCGAACACAATTTTTAGGCCCCCTGTTGGCTTCTTGTACGTATTTTTTAGTTTTCCTTTCAATATTTTCACGTACTTGCTCATGCAACTTTTTCACAAATTCAACCTTTTTGGCACCATTAAATTTATTTGTTTTTTGACAGACAAAGGAGATAAATCTAAAGGTGTTGTAGGATTAAAGCCATAAACAACCTCAAGTAGAGAAAAACTGGTGGATGAGTGAATAGTACAATTGTAAGCAAATTCAGCAACGACAAACATTCCTCCCAACTTTTCAAGTTCTTTTTGATGATCGTATTTAGCAAAGTTTCCAATGTTCTATTTGTTACCTCAGTTTGCCCATAAGTTTGTGGGTTACTTGAAGCAGAAAATAGCAACTGTGTCCCTAGTTTTCCCCCAACGAGTTCCAAAAGTAGTTTAAAAACTTTACATCGCGATAAAAAAGATCATTCTTGGCATACCATGCAAACGGACAATTTCTTTGAAAAATAGGTCAGCCACACGTTTTGTATCATTTGTCTTTCTACAAGCAATGAAATGTGCCATTTTGGAAAATCGATCAACAACAACAAAAATTAAGTCCATTCTTTTTTTATTTTTTGGTAATCATAGTATGAAATCCATGGAAATATTAGTCCAAGGAGAATGAGGAATGGGAAGTGGAGTATACAACCACGAGGAAGGGATCTTAATTTCGCCTTTTTGCATTGAAGGCTACTACCCTAAATGCGTTAACACCCCTTTTCATGTTAGGCCAATAAAAATGTTCCTTTAAAACATTTAGAGTTTTTAAAACCCTAAAATGGCCCATCAACCCTCCACTATGAGCCTCACGAGTCAAAAGTTCACAAAGAGAGCATGAAGGAATGCATAATTTATATTTTTTAAACAAAAATCCTTCATGTCTATAAAACTTGTTGAAGGATGATTTTTTGCAAGCGACAAACACATTGGCAAAAACATTATCAGATACATACAAGTCTTTAATGAACTTAAATCCCATGATTTTAGAATCCAAGTGAGCGAGAAGAGTGTACCTTCTTGATGGTGCATTAAGCACTATATTTTCTTTACCTTTCTTATAACGCACAATGTATGGAAATGTCTCTATGAAAGATATCCATCTAGCATGCCTTTTGTGCAGATTCCTTTGGCCTTTCAAATACTTAAGAGATTCATGATCAGTGATAATCACAAATTCCTTACGCCTAAGATAGTGTTCCCATGTCTCCAAGGCTCACACAACCGTATACAACTCCTTATCATAGGTTGGATAGTTCAAGGTGGCACCGTTTAAATTCTGACCAAAATACGCAATGGGTTGGCCTCCTTGAAGCAAAATAGCTCCAATTCCAATTCCTGAAGCATCACACTCAAGAATAAAAATTTCTTCCACACAAAAATGTGCACTTGTTGAGATTTTCAAATAACTTTTGCTCACACAAAGTAGCAAGAACAAGCTTAAGATGCTCAACATGATCATGCATGCTTCTACTATAGATCAAATGTCATCAAAATATACAACGCAAATTTCCCAATAAAATACCTCAAAACATGATTCATAAGCCTCATAAAATTATTGGGTGCATTAGTTAAGCCAAAAGGCATAACCAACCACTCGTAAAGGCCAATTTTTTTAAAAGTGGTCTTCCATTCATCATCTTCTTTGATTCTAATTTGGTGATAACCAGATTTAAGATCAACCTTGGTAAAGATTTTGGCTCCATGGAACTCATCAAACATGTCATCTAATCTAGGGATTGGATGACGATATTTGATGGTGATTTTGTTAACCGCCCTACAGTCAATACAGATGTGCCAAGTGCCATCTTTCTTTGGAACTAAGATGACAGACACATCACATAGAGTAAGGGGCTCATGAATAATACCTTTTCCCAATAGGTCACTAACTTACTTTTGAAACTCCTTTGTCTTCTCCTGATTGGCTCTATAAGCTGGTATATTTGGAATAGTGGCACCGGGAACCAAATCGATTTGATGTTCTATACCTAGAATTGGTGGCAATTTTTTAGGTACTTCTTGGCTGCACATCTGTAAATTCATCCAAAATATAAACAATCTCCACAGGCATATCATTAGGTAACTTGTTAGTAGATAAACAACCTTCTTGGTACATAAGTACAACAAGAAGCTTATGGGAAGATAATCTCTATCTACGTCTCCCATGCTCGCAAAGAAAGCAACTTTTCTCTCACTTGCTTTTGGCCTTTCTCCCTTGATTTTTCCTCTTATATTTTCATTGAGTACTTCTTATTCACTTTCTTTCTCACTTTTTTCTTCTCTACCGTCTTTTGACTTTTTCAAACTCTCCTCTTTTAGTCTTCTCTCTCTTTCTCTCTCATTTTTATTTGGTCTTTTAATACTTGTTGCGGGGACATAGGTACAAGGTTGAATGATTGATTATTGATTTCAGAACGATAGTTATTCAAACAACGATCTTGAGTTGTTTTACGATCAAACTCCCAAGGGCATCCAAGAATGATATGTCTTGCAGTCATGGGTACAACATCACACAAAACTTCATCCTCATATTTTCCGATGGAAAACCTCAACAATACTTGTCGCACAACCTTGAGTTCTCCATGATCATTAAGCCAATGTATACGATATGGTTTTGGATGCTTGATAGTGGATAGATCCAACTTCTCTACAAGATAAGAACTAGCAAAATTAATGCAACTTCTGCTATTAATTATTAACATGAATACCTTGTGTTTGATAAGAGACCGAGTGAGGAAGATGTTGTGACGTTGTTGATTGTCTTCTTTGTCTTGCATGTTTAGTGCCCTCATGGTCACGAGAGCCTCCCTTTTGTCATCACTATTTATCACAGACTTGACACTAAATTGTTCACCATCTAAACATTTGCTAGCTGGCTAGGGTAGGCCGATGGTTGGAGGACTACTTAACATCATTCTCTAATAAATCTATCTATAACCTTTAGTTCATTGTCATCTTCATATGCTGTGTTGTTGCCATCATCATCATCTTCGCTTTGGCTCTAATAAGAACCATCATCAAGCATAATCATAACTTTGGAATGAGGGCATTGTGAAGCTATATGTCCTTTTCCCAAACACTTGAAACAAGTCAGCCTTGATGTATGAGAAATGGAAGGGTTATTTTATCACTTTTTGGTGGAAAAGTCTTCTTTGAATCAAAATTCTTACCATTTTTTTCTTCTCGTCTTCAATTTTGTTCCACCTGTCGTTTTTCCAAGAAGAAGAAGAAGATGTATTGGAAGGGAACTTACTTGAACCTCATTTTATTATAAACTGTTTCTCCACCTTTTCAGCCATGTGAAACATTTCTTCCAAATCTATGTAGTGTTGCAACTCCACCACATCAGCAATTTCTTTTTGAAGGCCTCCCAAAAATCTGACCATGGTGGCTTTGAGATCTTCTTGAATACTCGCCCTTGCCATCACCATTTATATCTCTTGATAATATTCCTCCATAGATCTTGATCGTTGTGTGATGTTTTGAAGCCGATTGAACAAATCATGATAGTAATAGGGTGGGACAAAATGCCTTCTCATAACAGCCTTCATTTCTTCCCATGTATTAACAGGTTGTTCCCCATTTCTCCTTCTAGACAAAGCCAACTTGTCCCACCATGTTATAGCATAACTAGAAAATTCAATGGAAACAAGCTTTACCTTTTTATCTTCGGAATAGTTATGAACTCCAAACACATTCTCTACTTTTGTTTCCGATTCCATATATGCCTCTGGGTCGCTCTTACCTTGAAAAGATGGAATCTTCATCTTCATGCTACCAAGATTGTTGTCAACTCTATTTCTATTTCTTCGATTGTCTTGAGTTATTTTTGACCCCTCATCATCTCCTTTTTGTAAAGACACCTGCAAATGATCCATTCTTTCCATGATGGTTTCCATCATATGATCAAACAATAAAGTTAGCTCTGATACCAAAGGATGTGAACCCTTCAAAGAAGACTTCAATATATGTCAGACCATTCTTGTTTGATCTCGTGTACTTCCAAGGACTTAACTTCATATTGTTCAACCGAACAACTAAAGGTATCCAAAACCCAACACCTTTGGAATGCAAAGAAAGTAAGCAATCAAAGATTGAAAGAAGAAACACAGACTCTTCCAATAAACTCAATAACCTTACTTTTGAAACTCAACAATGAGGGATATATGAAATGCAATATCTTTGAGTTGCAAAAAGAACAAGTTGTTAAAGTAAAGGCGCCACACTAAGGGGAAGAAACCTAGTGATAAGCCAAGTGACAATTGCAAGCATTATTAGTCTTGCTAGAATCGACTTCGTTCAATCAAGAGAACTAACAAGTAAAGGAATGACCTCAAAATATATTGATTTGATGAAAAGATGCTTACAAATGCTTGAAAAGCTCCTATTTATAGGGAAATACATGGCCCTTATTAAGTACAAAATTAAAGGCTCTTAAAGACATTATTTAAGACCTAAAGTCTTAGGATTTCCCTCATAATGACTAACTTGACATTCAAGACTATTTTATTTAAATAAAAGGCAAAAAAAGGAAAACATAATATTGGGCCTTGAAGGACAACTCAAATATATAAAAGTTAGACCAACAACACAAGATAGTTTATCCAATCCGGCTTGAGGTCTTGAGTGTCTTCCAAAGGGGCTGAAATTATGAGATTAGCCAAAGCTTCTTGCATCCGCTTTCTCCTTGTAGTGTCATCGGCCCATGCATTCCTTTAAGTGGATCAGCTTCATTTGAGTTTCCATCGAGCTTTGAATTTCCTTCACGCTTGTCTCCTTTTTCTTCGATAAGGTTTTCATCACCTTCTTAAACTCAAGTAATTTTTAAATAAGTCAGTTTTAGGTAACTCGTAATCATGTTTAGTTAACTTCTTAATTTGGTAGTTAGTTGGTAGTGAAAGCATGCTGTGTGAATCGTTCATTCCATTAGGTTTATTTTGAAAATTTGAGCCCAATTTTACAACCCAATTTACAGTCCAATTTGAGAACTTTGAATCATGTTTTATTATATACATTTATTTAAATGCAACAATTTATTTTAATCATGATATTTTTTAAAATTAATTATGTAATTAAAATTTTAATGATTAAATATTAAACTCATGGTTACAAGAATTTTTGTTACAATTTTATTTATTTATAATATTTTACTTTATAGGATGCATTTTAGAAAATGTCTTGTTTAGTTAGTGATCACTATTTTTGGTCACTAATCATTTTTATTAGTGAACACTAGTTTTTTTTATTTCTAAACTTTCAACGTAGTGACCATCATTTTTTTTGTCACTATCATTCTTAAATAACACCAACTAGTTAGTCACCACTATTTTGGTAAAAAATTATTTTAAATTTGTGATTATTTATTTATTTTTTGTCACTAAAGCTTCTAACTTAGTGACCACTATTTATTGTTACTAACATTTGCAAGTAAAAATCAACTATTTAGTGACCACTATTTTGGTCACTTATCATTTCAATTTACTGACCACTATTTTTGGTCACTAAAACTTTCAACTTAGCGACCACTATTTTTTATCACTAACATTCCTAAGTAACACCAACTAGTTAGTGACCACTATTTTGGTCACTAATAATTTCAAATTTGTGACTACTTTGTTTTTTGTCATTAAAACTTTCAACTTAATGACCATCACTTTTTTGTCACCAAACCGTTCAACTCCGCGACCATTATTTTGGTCACTAAACGCATGAATTTAAAACATCAATGACGAAAATATGGTCGACACATATTTAGTCATTAAAATATAATGATATAATTTTTTTTTCATGAGAATTAGTGACCACTTAGTGATCAAATTTATTTTTTGTTACTAAAGTTCATATTAGTGACCACAAATTAACGACGACATTTCTCATCGTCACTAACATCAAAGCTAGTGACCAAAATATAAGTAGTCATTAAAATTTTGGTAATTAATGAAGCCTTTTCTAATCACTAAAGATATTTGGACATAAAAACCTACAAAACAAGCATGCCTTTTTCCATATTGATTGATGAAACTTGGTTACCTTTAAAATCTGAATGTAGTATTGCAAGTGATCTTAACATGATTGCACGGGGAAGGGGTCAAATATGTGCAAATTCTCTAGCGTGCTCCAAGCAAATATCTACATGAAAAGTATGATACTGAATTATCAAGAAAACAGTAGTAGATTTACATATGAGAAAAATGGTTGGGTGATTGAATGGGCGGGCTATTATGCATCAAATACATCGTAATATGCGGTCAGTATAGGATGGAACAAATAGTACCATAAATCTAATGTATCCTCCATACACCCACCATACTCATTATCGATTGAATCTGATATGCTTTCACCCCATAGTTCTACCCTTGTGGCATTTTCACTAGTTAGTACAGAACTATCCTACAAAAATGGAGATAGAATGGTTCTTTGTAAGGAGATCCATTAAAATAGGATTAAGTTTTGGATAATAAGAAGGAAAAGGAACATGAAAAGGAATATGAGTTTGGGACGAGATGTATACGTACAATAAAGAAAAGTTAGGTTTATAGGATGCTAAAAATATCGAGGCATTCAAATGAACTGTTTTTATTAGACTTAATTCATTTTATTAGACTTAATTCATAACGCCAAGCAATAAAGTGTCATATTCAAAAGTGTAGTATAAGTTTATCGGATTTTTTTGCCGTCGTGACAAGGCTTTTAGGACATTTTTTTATAAAAAAGAACGTTGTATTAACTATTTGATGGGACACTCCTGATCAAAAGTGTCTTATAAAAAAAGCTAATATGACGTTTTTGTATAAAAAGTGTACTAAAATTCTGTTAAGACACCCAAAAGCGTCTTATATATAAATTTATTACAACACGTGGTTTTGTTTCCGTGTCGTTAACCATGAATAAGATTTTTTTTTTGCTTTAACATCATATGGAAACGAACAAAAAGTTTAACATATATTGCAACCATAACCACCATGTTTCTACTTACCATATATTATACTTTATCTATGGATTCTCATTCTTTTGTAAACCACTTAAATAGTACAAATCTGTAAACCATGGTATTTTCATTCAGAGGCCGACGAGAGCCCCTCTAGTCTGGTCCTTGACAACTGTAGACAAGGAACTAGGTCCGAGCACTATATAGAGCCTCTTCATAGTACATGCAGAGCCTCTGGCTCACCTATATAGAGCTCTGTAGGCGTTTATGGTCCGTCTCTGATCACCCTTTGCTCCTTATGATCAATATTTCACTACAATGCAAGGGGTGCAACCCCTTAACTCCCACCAGGGTCATACTCTTCTTATAACAAGTGTGCACTCCGCACCTTCTCACTTGTATTTGTTATGACTTAGATACAGAAATGAAAATTTATTTGCATAACGATATTGAATTCGAAACAGAACCAGAAATTCATATATATATATATATATATATATATATATAGCAGCATATATACATGTATAATTACAGAAGAATAATGACAGAGAAATATGTAGGAATTCGATGACTAACTTGACTGTGAATCCAACGAAGAACAAATGTAAGATGAGGCCTGCAATAGCAGTGTCGTCAGACAGAAATTCGTCCAGTGAATTGGACGTCTATCTAGAGGATACAACAATCCGTTCAAGAAAGATACTTGAACCCGTCGAATCGACTATCTCCCATATGATATTGATAGGAACAAATGCACCCATACTGAAGAAATTTTCTGTATTTGCGTCTGAGAAAAACGAGAAATGGAGGGAGCATTTATAGTACACCGTATACACCTTAACTGTCGGGTAACCGACGATAACCGTCAGACAGAGCCGAGTATTGGCCGCACGCTGCTTCCTGTCACCGAGCCATCTAGTTAACGATATCAAGAGAACCCAAGGCCTAAGGTCCTCTTGATATTTAATATGTATTGAACCCAACTAGATAGTTAGACATTTTGACACTAGGAATATAAGACACTTGAAATCTTGAGATTTGGTCTATGTGGGACAAACCAAATACCCAACAGTATTAAAACAAAGTATAAAACCCCCTTAGATGGTCTGGTGACACTAAAATCACCAACAAGAATCAGTGAGTCGAAGAGTAAAATGAATCTACTATAAAACTCGCCTCTAAGTCCATACACAGGTTTTATGTTTATCTATGATTACATGGGATTATTTGATTAGAGGGACGCGACCCGTAGACGTAATAGGTTTAACCACCAAACAATATTGAAAATTATTGTCAATCTTTACAGTATGATTACTTTAGCCATTGACAATAAAGACATTACAAAATTTCTAACTCTCTATATTGACAGTTATAAATGTTTGGAAAACCTGATCCCAACAAAGTCAACCGCTTTTGATCATAAAAGTTGACTAAATTAATTGATTTTTCAAACTCCAAAACTTCTAATTAGTTGTTTTTTTTCTTTATGCTAGATCAATTTTACGACTTGAAAATAAAATATGAATGTTGAAAAAATGAATACTAGCTACTTTATAGTATAGGGGAGATGGTAGGAACATTATGTTTCCGCCATAACCTATAGCAACGACGTGTCATTGCTTAAAATGTTCGTGATGATAAAGGGATTTTTGGAAACGACAAAGGTCGTTACTAAAAATCCTGTTTTTTTTGTCAACTTGTATATACAACCCGCTATGCGAGCCGACTAATCCCAGGGCAACCACCTGTTTCGCGGGTGGCCTGAAGTCACCACATTTGAACCTCCGTGGCAACAAGAAGATTTTTATTAAAAAATCTTGTTTCTTCTTGTAGTGTATGCTCAATGAAACCCTATCAGTTGGTGTCTTCATTAACCACTTGACCTGCAACGAATGCTCACTATATGTAAAATTTTAGTAAATGTTCTCTTACATGAAACACAATAAAAAAAAACAAAAAGTGTCGATATTTGCGAATGTTCCATATGTGGATTTTGAGTTTGCTTTGTATGGTGTAAGTAATCCACCAATAAAGGTAACAACAATAATCTACTTCAAAATGATATCCCCATGAATTAGAAGCATGTAAATGGAACGAGTACCTACCAAGTATCTGTTCAGCTTAAAACACCTCTTAATTGTATCACCAGTAACACCACAATGTTTACAAATGAAGTTTGGATTTTCATAGCCTTTTATATCGTCAAAAGTCTTTGCAACAAAAGCACAACGTACAGTATCTTCTGTTTAAAGAACTAGAAGAAGAAATTCCCCTATTAGACTCTTCCCTGAAAATTTTATCAAAGAAACAGTTTTAATAGAGGATCCTGAATCAAATTTCTAATTGGGAGATGAACATCATCTAATCCCATTAAAGACTCTATAAGCTTTATCAACAGGAGCACGACTTTGACTTGATGAATTTAGTTGGTAATACAAATTAAAACATATCGGACATCAAAAGTTCTGTTTAGTTCTTGTTGAAATAGTAAGCTAGACCAGTTTGACTGACCAAACAGTTACATCCGTCAAATACTTCTTAACCACCGTTACAGTTATGTCGGTTCTATGAACCATTGTGTCTGTTAATTGTGTTGTTTTGATTTGTATATATATGTATGTTCATACTATTGGACAGGGGCTGTGATTTTAATAAGAAAAAGTCGGTGTTTCTTTGTATATTGCATCTTACTTAATCCTTCCAACATATGGTATCAGAGCCATCATGGCTTCAAACGCTGCAAACAACAGCGCCTTCCAACACTACAAGGAAAATGGATTTTAGAGAAGGAAGTTTTAGAGAAGGATTTGGAAGTGTATCTAAAGGTGTTGTTTAGGAAAGGAAATACATGACAAAAGTGTTAAATGTACCTGAAGATAAAACGACTTTCAGAGAAAGATTTCAAACCTAATAATATGCTATGTATATTGGTCCTAAAGCTTTTAAAGACGCTTCTTATATAAAACTTCTCTAAAAATCGACTCAAAAGCTTTAGAAACACTTTCGACATTGTCGCTAAAGAACAAAGTATTTTTATTTTTATTTTAAAATTAAACAAAAGGTTTTAGTTACTTTTTTATAATTTTTAAAAGAGTATCTAAAGCTTTTCTATTTTTGATAAATCAAATTTATATAATAAAAATATGATTGAAAATCAAAAGGAGAGTCTGAGAGGAGATACGAGTCCTGTACTTCAAAA